ACCGTAGGGTTGATATCACTTCCGCGTGAGTGGGAGGAGCTTGAGTTAATTATCGTGGACCCCGTTTCTTTGACGTTGGGCACGTGAAATGATGCGACGGGACAGGGGCCCCGGACATTATCGCAGACCAGCTTCTGCAACGAGGCGGTGTTGATGATGTCGAAGCCCACGCTGCCTCCGAATGTGCTCGGCTTCCAGTACTCCGGGGAGCAGATGGGGTTTCCCATTAAGCCCTTTAGTGAGTAAGGGGCCCCCATCTCCACCATGGTCTCCCCAAAGATGGCGTTCTCCCTGGGTTTCTCCACCAGCAGACCCGGGTAGAGCTCCACAGCATCGACGTGGCCGTAGAACTCCTCGAGCAATGCTGCCATCTCTTTCTCTCCTGAGTAACACAAAGCAGCATAGTTTTAGTCAACGGCTCAATCTGGCTAGTCTCACTCCAACAGCAGCAAAGCTAGTCTAAATATGAGTTCATTGTTTTTGACTGATTCAAATCCAACAAATTGTAGATTCAAGTATTTCTCTTCTTGACTTCATGTCCGTCTTCATCTTGTCTGTCTTACAAGCATGTACACGCCGATATCTTTCTCTACTCATACAGTACATCAAACATGTTCTCCTCTCAATGAGGAGACCTCTCTTGTCTGTTTATGTCTTGCTCTCTGTGATGACAATCTGCTTATACTATCTCAAGATGAAATGAACATCTGGTTCTTAAAGTCACGGAAATAAATTCCTAACCTCCAAAGTAGCTGAGGACTAAAGTCCATGCCATTTCTTTCATAAGTAACCTCAGATATTAGCTTATATTTTTATGATATTTAGCGCCTGGGTGTGTTGATCAAGTTGTTCCTGCAATTATTTCATTACAATGTTATTAATAATGCATCAATCATTTGGCCTGAGGCAACATTTCTGACACTTTATTTTGATAATAACCTCCCGACTAATCCTATGACGTGATCCTTTCCACTTATAAGTACATAGCCTACTAGGATTTGTGACTTTGTCTCACCTGTCATGTCTTCAAAAGAGGTGTAGGGCTTCATGGAGAATCGTTTCCTGTAGGCGTTCATAGACTGGTAGCGCATCTGTCTGCTATTTTCAATGGATTTAATGGCCACATACATAATAGGTCCTGGAACATTTCGGCCGCCAGCAACCTAAAAACATAAAGGGAAAGTCAGTAACTCTGCATTAAAGCAGCAGTGATGTTACAATCTGAATCGAAATGCTGCTCAAAAAGCTCTTACCCGTCCAGCAATCTGATTGGTGAATGACTCCACAAGGTTTCCGATGCCGTGCTCGGTCACGACGGAGGTGTTGAAGACAAACTGTTTATAGCTGTAGTCTTTCTCCTCAATTTGGAAGGTGTCAGGCATCAGGGGGTGCCAGTGGTACAGGGTGTTGAACTCAGACGCAATGCGGTTCTGGTACTGGAATTGCTGGCTGAACAGCAGCTCGGGGTCAAACTTGAGCTTGAAGTTATAGCCGCTCAGGTGCTGCACGTAGTCCTCGATCACAATCTTGATGGTCTCTCCTACAGGGCAAAATATTACATATAATGCAGATATAAAATATGTTTAAACTACCACCACTGCTTTTTAGAAACCGTGCAAAGTTAAAGTGCACATACTGTATAACTAAGAATAAACTTTCCTTTAATTAGGAGCAGTTAAACCTGGGAATCAAAATACTTTTTTTTTTTTTTAAAAAGGTACAACTTCCTCCTTTTCTAATTCCCACAGTATCTACGCAAATACCATAACATTTGCACCAGATAACTTTCTTATTATGTTTTGACCTTCATTTTCCCAGCAAAATTACTGCAAATGTTTTCAAAATGATTGTGCATTAACTCACCAATCAGAATGAGCCGGGTGGTTTGGAAGAGCCTCTCGTCGTTCCAGTCAGGGTGGACCTCCTTCAACACGTCACACACCCGGTTGTGTTCCCGCAGCCAGATGGTGGCGTACATCATCAGACCGGGGACCAGGCCGAAAGCCTCGTGGCCCACAGCGAAGCGGTGCGACTCGGGAACATGAGGGGGGTAGTGCATTTCAGCTCCCACTTCCTTTACTGTTGGGGGGTACATCTCTCCATCCAGGATCTGAAGAGTTACGCAAGAGAGAAAGCAACTGTAAGAAACTTGTGTGATCAGAAGCATTGTTTAAAGGACTGTCCATCGGACTCTTCTCATACCTGATGTTTAAGCTTGCCATCCTTGAAAAGTCTGAGCTTATGTTGCCTCTCCAGGGTGTCTCCATAAATGTGGCTGAGGTCCACCTGAAAGCATAAACAACAGCATTAATAAAAATGTATTAATTCACAAATATATTCGTCTACCTTTTCCCAATTAGAATCTGACTAGGCGTGAAATCTAAAATGCTTACCCCGTGACCTTTAGCAAGGGTAAAAGCAGGTCCTTTCTTCATATCAGATTTGAAGAACTGGTGTGTGAAATGCTGTGCGAAGAATGCAAACATCAGGCTGGTGCCCTGCGGGTCCGGGATAAATTGTCTTCTCATCAGAAGCTTCTCAGCCAATAGCTTTGCATCAGGTAGCTCCTTTTTACCTGGGGAAGGAGTTAAGAAAATCACAGTTAGCATGCAGCATTGCAATACAGAATCAAGGCAGTTTGGATATAACAGAAGAACATGATTCAAATGTAGTGATTTACTCTATCACTGAAGTTAATAGTCTTAATAAATCAGTTTGTTCTTCAGCTTTGACCAGCTGGTGCAGGTTTTACTGTGTCCCTTAGGCAAATGTCCATTCTGCCAATCCAGCTGAAGGGATCCAGGTTTGCTGTGCTTGTGATGTAATGCATCCATGCAAATGATTTAAGAATCTGAAATAACTGGTTCTCCAGAGGCAGAGAGAGTGTTCTCACCTACTACTCCCATAGGGGTTGGGCAATCCTCCGGCACAGGGGGGAGGGAGCGTGTATAATAAGAAAGGTTGGAATAGGCTTCCCAGCTCTTGTATCCATAATCAGCATTGAAAGTTGGAGGACTATCAATCAAGTGGGATCGAGCTAGAGGGAGAAAAAAACCATTTCATTATTAGTACAAATGCTATAACTTATTCTTCAAGAGCAGGTGAACAGATTATTGGATGTGTCAATCTATTTAATTATTTTGCTTCTCAGCTAGAGACGCTTACATGTCAGCACATATTTCATGATGCCATTCCGGAGAAATGAGATGTTGTTGATGATGTTCCAGAAGCCCTTAAAGTGGGTGAGAAGGTAGTGAACAGTGTTGGGCGACGGCTTCAGGGATACTTTGATCCAGGTGAGGAATTCAGCTGTAAAGCCAATAGGGAACGTTAGTCATTGAATAAAAGACCACAACCATTACAATCACCTCACTTGTGCCCGTCACACTCACGTGTTGTGCAGTTGTGTCCTTGATATCCTGTTCGTGTGCAATCACATTCATAATTATCTGCTCCTTGTGCAGTGCAAACACCCTTGTTCTGGCATGGCTCTGAGCAACATGGGTTACCTGAGACAGACAATGTTGGACAGTTATTCATTTGGTTCACTTCATGGCATAATTTTTTGTTTTAGAAATATGAATAAAAAATCTCATAATATGTGTGTGATAATACAATACACTTCTGACACCTTTTAATATTAGAGGCTATAATGTTCATATTCAATCCATTTCAACATATTGAATATGTATGACTTCTGATAGACCAATACACACACAAAATTGAAACATGTATATAACATTTCAGCCGAACGCTGAAATTAAAACGCGAAGTAAATCAATTCCAGCATCTGTTTAAATTTTAAAATCAGATGTTCTGTTTACTCACCCCCTGCGCAGACAAGAACACCCAGCGCCAAGAAGAAAACTGCTAAAGTAAATGTGTTCATGCTCCAAAGTATTTGTAGATTCTGGTTCTCGTTCTCGTTCTTCTTTCTTTTTCAATCTTCTCCTGCTCAGCGGTGTCGCGCTGAGGCAGACTTTGAATGTGTAAACCTGCACACCGACCATGCCTCTTATATAGTCCTTCCTACGGTGACGTCATTTTGGGAATGATAGTTCATCGGGCTTATAATGTATCAAATATTTGAACGTGAGGAATTTTCATTCTTTCACAATCTTAATGTCTCACGAATTTAGTCTTCAATGGAATCAAGCTAAATTGTACTGATATTTGACCGGCAAAGCTTCCCTTTTTAATTTATTACAACACTAATATTGAAAATAATTTTTAACAAAAGAGACTGAAAAGTTCCAGCATTCATTTGCAAAGCAGTTCAGTCTTAATTATATATAGACTACATAGCTTTCAAGAGGGCTACTTTTATTCAGAATGATTATATTATTTAATATCATACAATAAATGTGTCCTAATCATGGATTACTTGGAAGATAAAGATATATAATGTATGTGTAGTATTTTATTTATTGCAAATTACACGCGAATATTTTCTCTCTGAAAGATGAGACAATTAAATTCACATTATTAAATGTAACTAGAGGCTGTTTGAAACCAGCAGATCCACGAGTCTCTGATGGCATCAAGGAAGAAACTTGTTTTTTGGAAACGGAAAATCAACAGTAATTATTATATATATGATATATTATGTATAATATATATATATATATATATATATATATATATATTATACATAAATAATATTATATGTATCGTTAACAGCGCCTCTTGAAAGCGTTTTTTTTTAATGATTGTGTTGTTAAACATGGCATGATAATAAAAATGACCACCAGACAGACCCCAAAAAGACATATTTAATTAAAATGCTAAAAGTTTAGCGTCATCCGATTCACACTTTAAAAAAATGTTTTATGAACGTAAATCTCTTACGAAGATAAAATCTTGCGCCCTCTTGTGGACACTGCGCATTTGGTGAGCAGTCGATGAGTCAAAAGCTGACTCCCATGAATAGTTTTCATGGAGTCTTCGTCTGAAACTAACATTTGAAACAGAGAGTTTTTTTGTTTGTGGATTACGTTTAATTAGTGTTTATTAAAATTGTCTTGAACGTGCAGTCTGCTCCAGCCTCTTGACAGCCGGGTGTGCGTACTGTTCATCTGGTGAGGCACCTCCTCTTTCTCCTGTGGAGGAAGGATACTATCGGACAGCATTTTGAAGGCTTTTCTCCACGATTAAGGTACGTTTCCAATTACAATTATTTCACAGTGTAAAGGTGTATAACTGTTGGGGGAGCAGGGAGTGTCAGTGCCAGCAACTGCTGCTGGGGGTTTAACCATCGTCTCCGTGAGCAGTTTACTTTACGCAACTCAGGAGAAGGAAACTAAAAACTCAGTACTGCCAAAACATACAGAACATATACTGCATTAATTCAATTGGCAAAAGCCTATTTTACTCGCTAAATACGTCAGATTATGATGAACAGTTCCATGTAGTTGCCAACAGTCAAGATTGTTTTATTGGTCTTTATTTTATTTCCTTTTTTTGTTTCCTGTTTTTTTAGATTGATACTTTTAACTATCTTCTCTTTTGTCTTACATTATCTGAGGCAATCTTATTATCTAACTTTGCATGTAGCAACTTCTCCTCTCAGATTTGACCCACCTGGCTAATAAGAAACAGGGAAAACCTGTTTATGGTGGCCTAATAGATCTTGTATGAAGCATACAATTCTGATAATGAATATACAGTAATGACTTCCTCTGTAATATTTTCCTTGGTAAATGCACAGTGATTCTCATGTAGTACAACATGTGCAAAGAAGGAGATGTACTGTATGCCTTTAGAAACCTCTAATGCACTGCAGCTGTTTTGCATCACGGCTGGTTGCTGTCGGTCTCTTTGGGTTTTTGCATCACCATATAACAATGTAGTCCTTTTATCCAATGTGATATGTTGGCACACACACAGGACTCAACAGCCTGCATGCACTCATTGTATGCTGCAGAACAAGGGCAGAGTGAACTGGCACTAGCCAAAGTTGGACCACAGATGCCCACTACGTGACCAATGCTGTGAACACACAGCCTCTCTACGTGCTCTCAGTCGTCTAGTTATGACATGCTTTGTTAAAGAGCGGAGAAAAGGCTGACTGACCTTTATATGCTATCACAGCACACACACATTCCCTCACTCTCATATATATACACACACACACACACACACACACACACACACACACACACACACACACACACACACACACACACACACACACACACACACACACACACACACACACACACACACACACACACACACACACACACACACACACAACCCTGTATGCAAATGTATCAACATACTGTTTATGTGTTCATAACTTTGTGCAAAGAAAGCTTTAATGTTCCTAAAAATATCATCTCACCACCTCTTCTGCAGATGCACCTGACCATGCATTAGATTGTGTAGTAATTATTAAAAGTAATTCATGTTATTTACACTCTATCTTTGTTAGATAGTGTGACTGATATGTCATATCAGTCACATTAACATTTCCTTTTACTTCCATATTTCTCTCTCCCTCTCTCTCTAAACGTGCATGTGCTGTACTTACACTCACGCGTACTTTAATGTTAGCTATTGCTCCAGTCATTTTATCATGTGTTTGTGGCACAGCACACTTCCCTCCGCCCTTGTCGAGATGCTAAAGGCTTCACCCTTCAGCGTTGGCTGTAAGAAGGGGTTTTCCTTATTTTAAGAAGTTACAGAAAATGCTTTATTGTGTTATGGTGAGAAGAGGGAACACAATGCTTGTAAATGTTTGTTAAAGCTTTACTCCTAAATTTGCTTTTTTCCAGTTTCCAAATGCTTCAGTTTCTTGACTGAGATGTTCTCCTGAGTTCCCATCTTGACAAAGGCTTTCCTGAAGATTACTTACCTGACAACACACAATGGCTTCCAATATAATTGTGAGTATTGGCATGCAAAGCAAAACTGAGCCAGGTTGAGACAAAAACAGATTCCAGTTGTTTGAATCTTTGCGCAAATCATTCATCATGAGCTTAGAGTGAGCTTCAATCTTTTTCTCTGAAGCAAAAACTCAACAGCAAGAGGCGCATTCACACCGCAGTACTTTTCCCACAAAGGTTCATGAGAACTTAGTTCATGAGAACTCTTTTGTCGCGTTCACACCAAAAAGAGCCGGTACTAAAATTAGTTCATGAGAACCTTTTTACCCCCACGAAAGTCCCTGCTAGAGAGCAGGGACTTGCAGGGACTTTCGTGCGGCTCTCTTGTGAGAAAAGAGCTATATGTCTGATTGGCTGGGCGGATTGCAAACCACGCCCCGTAAAACTCCCAAAAAGTTTTGTGAAGCCGCCATTTTATTATCCTCGCTTTAGCATTATTAGCATTAGCATTAGCCCAGCGCAGAAACGCAGAGAGACTAACTTATGGCAACACAAAATAAAACATGGGAGCGGTGGAGATGAGGAGGTGTCGGCGTTTTGGCGATTTACTCGGAAGGCTTCAGTAGAAGCTGCTGGGAGTCCCAGCAGCTTCTACTGAAGCCAGTCCCCAACTCCGGGGACTTCCGGCCGGGGACTTTGGGCGGCAGTATACGCCGTGAAGTGGTTTGCGGCCTGCCAGTAAACCCAAAGCAGAAGAAGAAGAAGTGACGTCAGCGGCTTCATTTGCCTAATCCACCCCCAGGGATTTATTCCGGTGTGAACGCGATCTGTATTTAGTTCATGAGAACTAAAGAGTTCTCATGAACTAAGTTCTCATGCACCTTTGTGGGAAAAGTACTGCGGTGTGAATGCGCCTAAGACCTTTTCATTATCTCTGCAGCAGGTGCCGAGGGGTATACGGGCTGTGTTTAGTAGCAAATATTAGCATGGGATAGTCTGGGAGAGAGCTGCATTCACAGCCATAACAGTTTTATATCTAACATCACTTTTTGTTTCAAAGACTTGTTAATGGTTATTGAAACCACATTTTCTATTAGCATAACTTGGATGTGCAACAGGCTTCTTGAATAGACACATTTAAAACTACACTGAATATTAACAGAAGTTAAGTTTTCTTGAGAAAGGGCTCAAAGGTCTAGCTGCAGAAGGCTGAAACAAAAAAAACAATGCAAAAGAAAGGCAAAACAACTTCTTCTTAATCAAACTTGTTGGTTCAGTGATAGCTATCTAAGGATCAAGGAAATGTTTAGGGATGTATGACCTTCAAATGACGCCTTGATTTTCACTGATATGTCTCGTATTTTTCAACAAGAAAGAATAGCACAGACTTTAAGGTAACCTTTTCCACTATACATACATGGACAATGGCAAACAAGGAATTTGCAATTGGGCAAATAAAGTATTATTGTAAAGGCTTGTTACCTACCGGGTACAGTTACAGAGAGCACACCTTTAGAATAGTGTTGCTATAATTACATTTAATACCAGTGTTGCCAAACAAATTCAACATGTTGCTGTCAAATCACAAGGAGAAATGAAATGTGATGCAAAGTAAACCCTGAACCAGAGTATTTCACGTGGGAAACAGCCAACAAAATGTGTCACTGACTGACACATGATGAATGTATTAGGTGCATATTGTTTTGCATCATGGTTGGAGTGACTTTCCAACAAGATAATGAGCTGAAATGAATGAATGTTGTATGGCAGGTGGAGCAGCAGTTTTCTCACAAATTCACAGTGACGGTGGTTCGAGCAGAGAGCGTCACAAAGGGAGCACTGGGTGACCTGTGTGAGTCTTAATGCATTTTTTTCACACTTATACTTGTCATTCACACATTACAAAATTGTTTTGCAGCAAATGATCCAGAACATGTTGCATGCATATATTATCTTCTGGTATATGTTTTTGTTATTTACAATGGAATTGTTTTGAAGTGGATAAAAAGGTTCCCTGAAATAATTTGAGATTAACAAATGATATGTATAATACGTGTGTTGCAGTGGACACCCCAGATCCATATGTGGAGCTGTTCATCCCAACAGCCCCGGAGAGCAGGAAAAAGACCAAGCATATAGACAACAACATCAACCCAAAATGGAACGAGACCTTTCAGTTCATATTAGACCCAAACCAGAACAACGTCCTGGAGGTAAAACAGTTATTTATTTTTCTAGGCAGTCTGTACCAGTACAGGATGACATTTTAGGATGTAGTGGATTGATATATAGTATTATGTACCTTTTCTAAAAAGACTAAACTGCACTTAAACAAAGCCAGTATATGCAGTATGGAAATGCATTTAACAATTTGTCTGATGATGTTCATCCCAATCAGTTAACATTAATGGATGCCAATTATGTGATGGATGAGACACTTGGGACCGCGACCTATGACATCACCAAGCTCAAAGTAGGCCAGAAAAAGATGGAGTCGTTCCTCATTGGCAAAGTAAGATATTTATTCCTAACAGACTTTTTAAGTTCATCATTATGTACTCATGCTGAGATCACATATTTTCTGAAGGTATTACATATATGAAGATGGAATTGAAAACTACTACCAGCTGCTCTTTCACTGAACAATAACCACATATTTTATTGTTTTGACAGGCAACCAAAGTATACTTAGAAATGTTGCTGGAGATCTGGTAGGTAATGCCTAAAATTATGTATTTTATTTTATAGCAAAACTTCTTTATCAGAGTTTGCTCTGTCGTCAACCTAGAGGCCCTTGTGTTAAATGGTAATACTAGTTGTATGAGTGTGTGTGTTAAAATCCATCACTGGATGAAGAATACCAAATAAATCACCCGGAGCAATGCAGAAACTAAAATTAGAACTTCAAGCAGAATGACTCAATAAGAGGAAACTTGTCTAAAATGATATAGCATTAAAATGCATCATAATTCCTGTTGCATCACTGCATAGGGGTTTGTGGGAGGATTTGGAAATACCAAACAAGTTTGAAAGTGTTTATAATTATGAGGAGTCGAGCAGTGAGAGAGGCTGAGGAATTTTGTCTGTGATAGTGTTGCATACCCAGAGAAAGATCTTATCTGGCCTAAAGATCGATGTCAACATCATTAGTAATGTTACGTACACTGAGAGTCATATCTTACTGTCAGCAGAAGATGTAAATATGAGTTATTGTTTGTCTTCCCATTATCAGATTTAATTTAACCTTGTTTTTCCTTTGTTGCTGCAGTACTAAACTGGATCTGCGGTTCAGCCATGCCCTGTGTGACAAGGAGAAGCAATTCAGACAGACCCGCAGAGAGAGGGTGATGCTGGGCATCAAGAAGCTGCTGGACATGGAGAAGCCTCGATTCCTCCCTAGCTCTCCAGAGGAGGTGGGAACTGAGCCACAAAACTTCAAGTTTATTACATGGCTACTGTTTGAAAACATTTGTTTAGTCTTTTCATAAACCTGTGAGTTGACAGCTTAATTTATTAAGAGGCCAAATTCAAAATCCGTTTGCACTTTTACTTCATTTCTTATGATTAAATCACTTTGATAAGTTTAAGCAAACATTTAGCTTTATTTAACCTGAGTTACTGATACAAACGGACCCTGGGCCAAACTAGTTTAGGTACACGCACATTTAAACAGGCCAATCACTCTCTAATTTGCAAAAGCCGACACATATTGACAGGTTAACAGTCCTCGACACAACTCTGGCAAAGGAAGCAGGAACCTCAGAGACGGCAGTTTGCATTAGCATAGTGAAAGTAAATCGTATGCTCATTAGCTGCTTCACATAATAAGTTGTCACTGCTAGCTTGCTGTCACAACACTTCCTTGAAATCTATGCTGTGACTGTGCTCCTGCCTCTGTGAGTAGATCATTTGAAAAGCCTCACCTCCACCCTAGCATCCACTTGAACATACACTCTGAATCTACATTCACAACAGCGAGGAAAGTTTCTATCAACATGTTTTCATGTGAGGAAGGATCAGACCCTAGATGCCAAATACCTGCTTTATGCCTTTTTTACAGTCCCATTCCACAGGAAGTAGCAGACTGAGTTATAGCTGTGTGCTTACTTTGGCATCCCTCATTCTTGTACATATTCACTTCATGATCTATAGGATTAAGCCTATTGAAGAAGACAAAAAGGAAAACATGCAAACCTTTGAGGCCTTTGTTCTAATATAATGAGAATTACTAAATTAAAATGTACTTGTTATTTGTTATGCACTTTTCACAAAGTGTGTGTCAAACCAAAAAGTATACCTTACAAACTCCTAAGTTGTGTGCCCCTGCACTGACTTAGGCTAAGTTTCATTTTCGTGCTGATGTGGATTTGGCTTGACGCCCTTGGGGCTGGCTGTAATCTCCAGCCAGGTCTGCACATGTCCTCAGAATGTGCCGGAAGATCCAGAGGAATGAGATAACCAGCTTCTGCCTTTCACTATGCTACACCATCACTCCACTTCCTATCCAGGACGAACCTCGTATGTCTGTCAGAATAGTAAAAACTGACCGCAAGATAAAAACAGAGTGCAGACAAGGAAGCAACATTGCAAAATAAAAATTATGAAATTGTTGAAAATCTGAAGAGCAAATGTTGCAAAGGCGTGACGCAACTTGCAGCCTCACTGTATAGAGCCACAGAAGGGAAGTTAGTCAACCTGAAAGAGTGAGGATTAATACAAGACTCATACTATAAACAGTTAAGTATGTAATTATGTGATTAGGCATGCCTTTGTCTTCTTATTATTCACATTATGACTGTGTGTGTGTGTGTGTGTGTGTGTGTGTGTGTGTGTGTGTGTGTGTGTGTGTGTGTGTGTGTGTGTGTGTGTGTGTGTGTGTGTGTGTGTGTGTGTGTGTGTGTGTGTGTGTGTGTGTGTGTGTGTGTGTGTGTGTGTGTGTGTGTGTGTGTGTGTGTGTGTGTGTGTGTGTGTGTTGCAGGTTCCAGTTATAGCCATAGCGGGCTCAGGAGGCGGTTTCCGTGCCATGGTTGGCTTCTCAGGTGTGATGAAAGCCCTGTTTGAGTCTGGGGTCCTGGATTGTGCCACATATGTTGCCGGCCTTTCCGGATCCACATGGTCAGTTTTAATTTCTCGTCATCTCCTTTTATTTAGTTTTATTTCTCTTTTTTACACATTCTCACAACATGAACCCTTTTTTTCTAGAGGCACTTTCTCTCTTGTCATCTTATTCTTTCATATTGCTACTTTTCTTTCTTTTCTTTCTCTCTTTTGATGTTGCTTCCTCCCTTCCCTATAACTCTCTTTCCTTCCTCCGCTGGTACGAAGCTGTCATCAAGCAAGCAACTCTGGTTTGCTTTAGTCTCCATCCTCATATTTGTGAAGTGACTTAATGGATTTAACTTCCTTATCAATGCAATACCTCCAGTGAAACATTTTTAATACAAGCACAGGCATATTTATGTTAGCATACATTTGCTGATTTTTTTTAATTTCTCTTGATCACTGTAGGTACATGTCCACTATCTACTCCCACCCAGAGTTTCCAAATAAGGGCCCGAAGGATATAAACCCAGAGCTGATGGATAGAGTCAGCAGTAACCCGCTGAAGCTGTTGCTGCCCCAACACATCACCAACTACATCCAGGCCTTGTGGGCTAAAAAGGCCTTCGGGCAGCCCGTTACCTTCACTGATATCTTCGGTATGCTCATAGGAGAGACGCTCATACCTGCGGTAAGAGACGCAGGACAGCTGTTGTTTGTTGATGGAATTTGTGTCGGTATTGCTTGGCAGTACGTCAATCCTTCTCTTCCTTTCAGTTCATGTTTCTTTTCCTCTATATTATTTCGTGCTGAAGTCCCATACAGGCCTAACACAAGTTTTTTATTTTAATTTTGCGCTGTTTATTCCCCATTTATATTACTTTCTCTTTTTCTACTTCCATATAACCATGACAACTTTTACTAACAGCCACATTGTATGTGTAAATGAAAAAAGAAAGAAACTGCCATCTCTTCCATTAGAGGATGGACATCAAACTGAGTAGCATCCAGGAGAAAATAAACCAGGCCCAGTGTCCTCTTCCTCTCTTCACATGTCTGCATGTCAAGCCAGATGTTTCTGAACTCATGTTTGCAGGTAAATACATATCTACCTTTTTGTAAATGTCTGCATGTGCCTTTATGTTAAATTGTATGTTACATGTAAACCATGTCCCTCAGAATTATTTTGCATATGTAATGAGTAACTTGAGAGATAATCAGATGGCCACACATGCAAAGCAACCATGCAGTACTTATTTCCTTATAATGCTGCTCTGCAAAGAGGATGTGTGATGGCGGGCTTCAATGACGGCTCTTTAGTGCCAGATAGCAACTGTGCTATATCGAGGAACTGGGTAGAGTGCAAAAGGCCATAATAGACTCGGGGTTGGTCTTATGTTAATGCTAAAACTTCCTCTTTGTAAGGGCTATTAACCAGGCTGCACTGTGCTCCAATAAAACCAGCGGGTGAAAAAGAAATACCAAAGCAGAAGCTGACATTTTAAGTGATCTTCAAAGATCATTGAATACACACTTTCTACTGGCTCCAAATACAAATACTAGTATTGACTAGTATTGACTTTTTTCTCGCTTGAGGTAATGTCCATTCTCCCATCCCATCTAAATAGTTGTTTTAATGTGTAAGGTTTGCTGTTACAATATCAAAGTTATTAATCTCACGTTTGAAGAAGTACCAAACAATATGTCATATACCAACAAAAGAAAATCCAGAGAAGACAATAATACACTCTAAAGATAATGAATGACAATACATCACTTAGGGTGTACGTGACTTTAAACATGTCCCAAAATACTGACGACAAAAGAAAACTGGCCATGCTATTTCTGATTGATGAAGTGAAAATGCTGTGCAGTGTCACTTTGATATGCATGAGGGTGAGGCCACACTCAATGCTAATCTAGAATAACAGCCGGGACTTGAATAACCCAAGTGTGACCACTGTGATATGAATCATATTGTGCATCATGTGTACCAACTAAAGACACTCTTTTATTGACATAAAACCAGCACTATTCCCTATTTCAAATACAAATCCTTTTATTGTGTTTTTAAATCTAGTTGTCAGCTATTTGGTGCATGATAGATTGAATTGAAAGTGGCATCTCCTTCAAAACAGGCCCGAAGATTTTCCAGATGATTATGGTCATCATATTGCATCACAAAATGTTTCATATTTCTGTTACATTAACACTAAGGTTTCCACCTGCAGATTGGGTGGAGTTCAGCCCGTATGAAATTGGGATGGCAAAGTACGGCACCTTCATGACCCCTGACTTGTTTGGAAGCAAGTTCTTCATGGGAACCGTCATAAAGAGATACGAGGAGAACCCTATTCATTTTCTAATGGGTGAGAAAGGTGTTTTCATCCAAAGCAGTCAGCCTAGTTTCCATTATTTAACGTACTATTCACAGTATATCTTTTCTGATTCAGGTGTTTGGGGCAGCGCCTTCTCCATCCTGTTCAACAGAGTGCTGGGAGTCAAAGACACCGTTGGAGGAAGCACCATGGAGGAGGAATTAGGTAATCTTTTTGTTTCTTATTGAGGAATACATATAATCCCCAAATAATGCAATCATTTGGAGTGAGATCACCAGATCAGAGGCTCAAAAACAGCCACTCATTAGACCCTTTGAAAATATTGTTTTGTCCACTTTACCCAGATAAAAAATTACTTTCAGTCAGTTGTTACAATAATTTAAAAAAAACGTAAGTTATAGAAAACTTAGAAAACAATGATTACGTTTTTTATGTTAAGTGTACTATTTTAATAACAAACTATTGCATAGAGGAAAATGTATTGTGTCAAAAATCCTAATAAAATGCATATCATACTTGCAGTACCTTGACAATACATTTGAAAAACGAGGATCCTAAAACACAAGAATCTTAAATATGTGTTTAGTCATAGGTGTTTTGTGTAAGTGGAAAATAAGTGTTCATTTACAGATAATGCCACTTTCTTTCGTCTGTATTGATCTTTTAATAAGATTCCTTCTGTGATACACCCATCACTGAAACTGACACTCAGTCCTGCCTCATTGTTATCTGTATTTTCTCGCCTCATGCCATAATTATTGTCACGCACTTTGACACCTTTATCCTCAAACATTTAAAGATAGCTGATCTAAAATTATCCCACCTGATGTGTGGCATTACTGTTTGTGTGTGTGTTTGCACGATGTTGCAAAAACAGTGTATCAGCTTTCCTTCCCATATCCTGACAACTCACTTTGTTTTGGAAGAAAGTGTTTGTTTGGGGTGACCTTTTAAATGTCAGACACTCTCTGCATTTGTTGTACTAAAGTGCCAAGACATCTCCACCCAGTCAGGCATTCTTTATCAGGTGTATTGCATTTCTCTGAGGACTTCTTTTGGCAGATAAAAACAATAGACAGTGAATTTGATAATGTCACATAGCTGAACAAAACCATTCTTACTGATACAGTGTCGATATTTGGTATGACTAAGAATAAAAAGCATGTTTGAAGTTGTAACCTGATAAGTGAAGCTGTCTTGTGTCTTACAGAGCAGATCAAACCCCAGCACATTGTCGGAGTAGACAGTCTGGACAATGACGACGAGCCACGTAAAGGTGAGCTAAGAAATGCACAATTCATGCCCGGAGCTGACGAACACACAGCAGTTTGATTACATGTGTAAAGGCACATTAGAGGTGTGTGACTTTAAATAGTGTCAGTAAACATTTTGAAACATTGTTGGGTTGCGGGGAAAGTAATGCCTTAACACATTTGTCTGTATTTCTGTGGTATTGTTTCCATTTGCATCTATCACTGTGACTCAGCTACATGAGAGCAGCTACTGTGGTTTCTGTCAGGACATGAAAAAGCGCTTATTGAGATTTCACTTGTAACTCTTGGGTTTGTAGACTTTGTATTGTATGTTATAATGTACACACCTTGGCCAATGAACATGTGTTTTTTACTTTTCCTGATCCTATTTATAATATTATATATATATATATCATTTTCTTTGTGAGTAAGGGTTTAAGCTGTGAGTGAAATCATAAAAAGAAAAAACAGTAAGAGAGAAAGACAACGGATGCAGTAAGATTAGTGACAAACAGATATAGACTAAGATTATAATGAATTACCCTTGATAATGGAGTTCATTTGTTATACAAAAGGTGTAAAACAAATCTTTTCTGGTACATTTTACATGTTGTTTTAACTATGAAACACATTCACACTGCACCATGTCCCAAGACTGAAACACTAATTTGAATACTAAACTGGATCTTAAATATTATGCCTGCACGCATGTGGAACAATCTACAAAAGTTTTAAAAGTTAGACAGGAATATCAGTTCATTCAATTCTAATATTTTATGACTTACATACAGCAGTGTGAATGCATCTGTTTTCGATGTGTTGATGTCTCTTGTGCTTCTTTTGTGTATAGTTATTGTATATTTACTTTTTGAATTGGACTATTTAAACATATTTTAGTTACAAATCAATATCCTTATTCATTTGAAAAGGTGATGAACTTAAATGTGATATTCCTTCACTCATATTTTTCACTAACTCCTGAGGGAAATATCTGGCTCGTCACAAACGTAATGCTCCACTTAGTTCACTAACATTTTTTGAGACCCAGTTAAAAACTGTTTCCCAACATTTGACATTTATTATTTTTCATCGTTCAGCTGGCACAGAGAACCAAGAGGCAGAAGATGAGTACCACCGCACCGCTCAGGCTAGCTGGGCTCATCGAATGTTCACGTCGTTGTTCAGTGAATCGTCCTTATTCAACACAAGAGAGGGCCGGGCTGGGAAGGTAACTGAATATGTGAATTCAACATGAAACCATGAAAACGCTTCATACAACAAACAGCATCTTCTCCAGCCACATTGTTGTTTCACTTTTCATTTATTCAAATTCACAACCAGCTGTCTTCCTTTATAACTCCTTTCGTCCTGTTTCCAGGTGCATAACTTCATGCTGGGCCTGAACCTGAACACCAGCACCCCCTTCTCTCCGGACAACGAGGTCACCAGCCAAGCCCTCCCACCTGAGGAGGAGGTGGATGCTGTCACAGGTTAGAAGGATGGTCACTAATTAAATATTTTAGTCTAGAAATAAAGCATAAGAATGATCATTTTGCATAAAGGAGTTTTGATTCACTTTGATTATTGATTATACCAACTGGCAATGTTTAGCAACTGTATTTCAAACCGGAGAGACGTGATGTAAGGATTACATATTTATTGTTTACACGTCATATGAATGAAATGATTGCCATGATAATACAACAGGAGAATGTAATGGTGTTTGGCGATTAGGCCCCGGTTTGCAGGATAATCATTCAGGAGGGAAAGAACCGCTCCGATGAAATCCCCGGGGTCTAGACACTGGTGGTGGTGATAAGTAGGTGGGACCGGTCTGAAGAAGGAAGGTTTAGCTTTGTTCTGGAGGAGACGGGAGGCGAGAGGGGTGGAGGTGGGTTGCGTGTGATCATCTGCAATGACAACTGACAGGGAGGAAGAGCAGGCATTTAAGGAATTTAGCATGTGCAGCAATTGGCTGCTGAGGGGTGACGCCCTCGTATTTAATGAGGGGGGAAGGGAGCCATAGAGTGACGTGTAAGTGACTCGTGTTAGGTCTTCCTTATTGAACTTGTGCTAAAGCTTTCATCTAGCTGCAAACATTTTAAATGAATACATGCAGAATAGTATCTCATTTGTTAATTTGCAGCTAAATGCATGTGAAACTGAACACAGGGCTGGTTAATAAGAATACATTTTCAGTACTGAACAAATTGCACCAAAATCTAAATTATAATTTCATAGATTTTATATTCTATGTTGGTCCTTACACTGCTGCTTCAAAACAGCATGAACTGAATGTCTTGTACATTTCCAAATGATTTGTTACATCAGAAAACATTTTCCTAAGAGTTTACATTCACAATTCCTAGTTTAAGTATTTTTTAGTAGAGCATATAAGATCATTTTACAATTTATGTTGTGTTTTCAACTCAAGTTAATTCTAACATTCTTGCCACCTACAAATCACTTCTCAGCATTTGGTTCTTCTTTCTTTTATCCTCTCTTGTTATTTGTCGTTGTAAAAAACCCAAGACACTGATGGTAATTCTCAGGGGAACTACATGTATAGAGTTGGGTGGTAATTCTTTGTGAGTTCATCACTACAAGCAACTTCTTTCAAAATACATGTAGTAATGTTTACCCATTGCCGTTATAGAAATATTGATTAGTAATTCGTTTTTTCTTTCTGAAACACTTAAGTAAGGCAGCTTGCCTACTATTAAAGCATAGGTGTGGTCTGATTATTTTTTAAACGAAACTTAGCCCTGCTTCCTTTGAACTTCATGTTCTGCAGTTGAGTCACTGGGTCAGGCATGCAGAAAATGTTTTGGCAGTAGACTACAAAGGTATTTCCCTTTCTTGTCCCATTCATCTTTTGTTTGATTCAATGTGATTTTCTCAGACCCAGATGAGTTTGATCGCATTTACGAGCCTCTGGATGTGAAGAGCAAGAAGATCCATATAGTGGATAGCGGCCTCACCTACAACCTCCCCTACCCTCTCATCCTGCGGCCGGAGCGCGGCGTCAACCTCATCATCTCCTTTGACTTTTCTGCACGACCCAGCGACTCCAGCCCCCCATTCAAGGTCAGAGTCTATTTGTTACTGTCGCAAATTGCTTAAAAGTATCTGTACAAACCATGAACATTGTTTCTATTTTCTAAATGTATGCCACAGGAGATCCTTTTGGCAGAAAAGTGGGCTCGGATGAACAAGCTTCCATTCCCCAAGATCGACCCCAAAGTCTTTGACCGCGAGGGCCTGAAGGAATGCTACGTCTTCAAACCAAAAAAAGGAGAAAAGAACTGCCCGACTGTCATCCACTTTGTCTTGGTCAACATCAACTTCAGGACATTTAAGGCACCTGGTGAGTAAGTGCAGACGTGGAGGTTTTTCTCATCATGTGTGAGGAGGAAAATATGCCCAGTCTGTATTATATTAATAATGCTGCTCAAGCGTCATGGAACATGAGGCATCCCTTCCTCGAACTTGAATTCAACCATAATCGTTTCGAGGCAGGCATTTTGTTATGATCAGCCAACAGTTGGGCCCCTCAACTCCCCAATGAAAGAAACTCTGCTCAGGGTCTTTGTGGTTTCGTGGTGGAAATGGTGTGTCTGTCTTTAAGCATACCTGTAATTTAGTGTGTGTGTGTGTGTGTGCGGCACGCGCACAAGCCTTAGATGTGGACCACAGTGTGTTCAGTGTTTTATGAGCTGCTAGAGTGAATTATGGTTCCCTTAAGGAGCCAGGTGCTGGTAGGGAATCTCTCGTTCTAGTGGGAGAGCTCCTTGTGTAAACATTCTATATATCATGGGCCATACAGAGACACACTATCCCATCGTCTCCTCTCCTGCCTCTTTACATTCAGTAGGTCATCATCGGCCCACATGCTTCAGCAGTCTGTTTATGGAAGTTACATAAGCTTTTTGCACTCAAACCCCAGAGAAATGTGAGGGAGTTGTACCATAAATGGACTTCCTGTCTGTAGAAGTTATACAGGCCGTTATGAAGTCATTTCTCCGATGTATGCATTTTCCAAACCATGACTCCTGGATCGTGGTCTTTCATCTTTACTCCTGTAATAATAAAAGCAAAATCTGAATCAATTATACATTTTTCCTAAAAGTGATTGATCTATCAGGTGTTAAAGGTCCCATGACATGGCCATTTCTACTGATCATAATTCCATTTTTGAGGTCTACTAGAATAGATTTACATTGTTCAATGTTCCAAAATCACATTGGTTTTCTCATACAGCATCTCTGTATAGTATGTCCCTGCTGAAAAAAACAGCTTAGACCAGATTAGTTGACCAGCCTGACCAGCCAGTGGATGGCTGGTTTAGCTGGTTTAGCTGGTGCAACAGCTAAACCAGCTAAACCAGCCATCCTGGCCAGCTAAAAAAAACAGCATAGACCAGCATAGTATGCTGGTCAATGCTGGGCTGGTCACCAGCATCCATCTATCACCAGCTTATGTTTAATTATAGTTAGTTATAGTTATTATACCATGCTGGAAGCTTACCAGGATTCCAGGTGACCTGGTAATTGTTTAAATGTTTTAAATTGTGTGCAGCTGGTGCTCTGAGGAAAGATCAGGCTGAATTTACAATGGGTCTTAATGGAGACATGTTGAAAGTTGTTGTCACTTCATGCCCTCAAGAGGCATTTTGTTTAATTTTTCAACGTAGGAGAGGTTTTCCTAGGGGAATTATGGCAGGTTTAAAAAAAATAATGTAAGGCGAATTTCAAGCTGTCCTCCACTCTGTTTTGAGATCAAAGCACTCTAAGCCTTAACGAGCTGCGCAATACACACTAATGTTAAAATCTGAAGAAGGCCTCTTTACCAAGCTCCAAGCTAAGTTAAATATCTCAAAAAGATATCAAAAATCTGAATACAATTTCAATAGCTGCATTTCTTGTGATCATTTTAAAGTTGGAATGAAGTCTCTAGCTGAAAGTATGTGGAAGGAGTAGCATTTGGCACATGGTGTAGGTAAAAGAGGATTGTAAGGTTCCTCCCATTGAGTTACATGTTAAAAAAAAGAGTTTAAAAAGCTGAATATTTAAACATTCACACTAATAAGCCTTGGTAGCACTAGTGTCCGAGTCATAGTGTCCAGAACTGACTGAAGACATGTGGAACAGAGTCCCAGACAGGCATGGTTCCATGTACAGGAAACTGGAACTTTGAACAGCTGTTTTCATCTTTTCTGCCTGAAGATTCACAACTTCTTTATCAGGTGTTTGATGTGGGCTGGCATGATCCTTTCTGCAGTGATGAATAAAGAAAACAAAGAAAACATTATTAATAATAGTAATGATGGTAACAACAATAATATTAGCATAACTATTTATATAGCACTTATAGCAACACTGCCTCTCAGAAGAGCAGCTGCTGGGCGGAGTCACAGAAACGCTCAACTGATCTACACTCCCCGACCCTTAGCGCCAGTCAAAACCATGTTTTATACCGCTTTGTTTCGACCACTGCCGTCTGGCAGTTTCAATTGCACCAGCAAGACTGCTGGTGAAACGTTGCGGGGCTCGCTGCTCCGCCCTTTGAGGCTCGAGGAGCGGACAGTGTGAGCTGGATTACTGGTGTCGTTTCCTGGTTGCTGCTTGGGGTCTGTGAGACAGCGAGACACCGCGGAGCTCAGCCCACACACACTCACAGCCTGAGCTCCGTGTGTGTGTGTGTGTGTGTGTGTGTGTGTGTGTGTGTGTGTGTGTGTGTGTGTGTGTGTGTGTGTGTGTGTGTGTGTGTGTGTGTGTGTGTGTGTGTGTGTGTGTGTGTGTGTGTGTGTGTGTGTGTGTGTACGTACGTGTACGGAGCTCTGCGCAGCACCACGGCTGAGAAAAGATAAGGAGTGAGTGTTTCTCAATCGCGAGTATGCTTGCTTGGTAGCACATGTCTGCCGAGCATCTTGCTTCAGAAGCGAGGCAAGAATACTTCCTGGCATTCGGAAAACAAAGAGTGGAACAGGCTAGCAAGTGTGCAGGTGTGCGTCATATGAGAGGCCCCGCCTTACATTTTCCGCCACAGATTTGGGGAAATTGGTCCGTGCGCAAAGCATTGTGGGGATTGTAAGACCGCGGAGTCTACACATGTGCAGCCTCGAAATTTCTCCGAGGGTGAGATGATGATGTGAATTACTGTTCAAATTAGTTAATGTAATAATCGTTTTGGTCTTATATTTTTTTTCGGGGGCGAGGTTCCTTTTTCCAGTTTAGAGTAATAGCCCCTCCAAATGTGTGTGCACGTCCCTGCTTTACTCGCGATTGAGAAACGCTGTGTGTGTGTGTGTGTGTGTGTGTGTGTGTGTGTGTGTGTGTGTGTGTGTGTGTGTGTGTGTGTGTGTGTGTGTGTGTGTGTGTGTGTGTGTGTGTGTGTGTGTGTGTGTGTGTGTGTGTGTGTGTGTGTGTGTGTGTGTGTGTGTGTGTGTGTGTGTGTGTGTGTCTGTCTGTGTGTGTGTGTGTGTGTGTGTGTGTGTGTGTGTGTGTGTGTGTGTGTGTGTGTGTGTGTGTGTGTGTGTGTGTGTGGAGCTCTGCAGCGTTACGTGAGAAAAAAATGGAAAAAGAAAAATCTCCAACGAGGCGTTCTGGGGCAGCATAGACACAGGTCTTTTCTGAGTTTTACTCGCTACAGGGTGTACTTTGAGGGTTTGTGACTTTGCAGACCGTTTACATGCAGAAAAAGCATAATAACCGGAAAAGCATATCATGGGACCTTTAATATAGCAAGTTATTTTAAACATAGGTTCATAAATAAAGATAAATCACGTACAGATATCTTACAAATGTTTTCTCATACTGATGAAAGAAGGACCTTTTTTTGTTGTTGATTTTTTCTTTTTATACAAATAAAATAAATATTGTTCTGTAGATATTGTCTTCATCAACAAAACATGTAAAATGTAAAGCATGTTACTCGCTCAAAATGTGAGAATATTATAAATATATTATATAGCTGACAAAACAAGCAAAAATAGTTTTTCTTAGCCTCATCAATCAATAAAATCAAAATGAATTTCATTTAGTTGTTTGAAAATCAAAAATGAAATTTAAAAACTCAACATTTCAAGCATCAGTCAGATTTATATGGATTTATTGTCTTACTTTCTAACTCTTTAATTTCTTACAGGTGTACCCAGAGAGACTGAAAAGGAGAAGGACTTGGCTGACTTTGACATCTTTGACGACCCAGAGTCACCATTCTCCACTTTTAACTTCCAGTACTCCAACGAGGCCTTCACCCGACTCCACGACCTCATGGAGTTCAACACTCTAAACAACCTGGAGGTCAGTTTTGTAGTTATGGTTACACTACAGGATGTTTAGATGGAGGGATGTATATTTGGCATACTTAAAGTTTCCAACCACAAACAACCGGAAATAATAGTGGTGCCTGCAGTTTGTAAGACTCAATGTCATCAGAGGGTTAAAAATGGATTCAAAGCTTTGATCCATCTGCTGAGTAATTCTCATGAATTCCCACTGTAATGCTTGGTTAATCCACCTTCATTCAGTAAGGAATTTTAACATACAGTACTTGCGTTGTCACTGCACAAATATCAGTTTGTTGAGCAACACCAAACATTTCTAATCCCAAAGACCCATTAAAGACCGGATAGTACAAGTTTTCTCTAGTTCACAGTAGGTGTGTTACCCTGAGCGGTCAGACTGACTTTCACTCACCTTATCTGACTCACTTCCATGCTGAGTAACGTTTCAAATGTGATGCAATGTATTTTGGGATTTTAATGGAAAGACAGCCTATTGAAGACAGATTTATACTGTCAATAAAGATACACTGACTCAGCAGATTTGAGCACAAAACCCAATGTTATACTTGAATGAAAAATGTGCCCAGTACCACCAACGTTTGGTAATTTATGCAGCAATATTTGGATGTGATCCACAGCACACGACTGTGGAAACATGTGCATACTGATCTGAGCATATTTAAAGCAGTGTCAAGTGTCAGATGGTAATGTTGGTCAGTTACTTTGGTCCAGAACAGAGTATCTCAAAATCATTGAATAATAATGTGAACCAAAAAAACTCTTCTCACAAAAAACTATATTTTGTAGAACCACCTGAATTAGATAGTACTGTATAGCCAAATGTATTTGAGCTAACATTGGTATGGGTCTGGCATTTCAGATGTAATCCCTGTATTTGTCCCCTGTAGGTGATAAAGGAAGCCATTAAGGACTGCATCGTGTCCAGGAAGGAGGATCCCTCGTGCACCACCCTTCCCTTCTCCCTCAGTGCAATCCCCAAAAAGAAGTTTCTCAAAAGAGCTTCTCTGGCAGAACCCTTTGACTTCCTGGGGAATAAAAACTAGTAATCTGATCCAAGACTTCAGATACAGCAGACTTTTTTTATTGTAGATTCAGTCTTAAAGTAAAGCATTTTCTTTTTGGAAAAGTCTATCAAGTTGATCTCTTTTTGCATATTTTCAATCCTCTATTTTTCATAAAGAACCTTAAAGTTTATACAAGCCCTATGATTGCATTCATATACAACACAATGAGAATCTTTTTCTAGCTTTGTTCGCCTGTTGGAGTTTATTGATCACAGACAGCTGATCTCCGTTTCTACCTGCTGGTTATAAAAAACACTTGACACTGAGAAACTATGCTATATCTTAGTTTTTCATTTGGGAAACAAATCTCAGTTATATATTTTCATTTACTTCATGTGAATGTTGTACTCCAGTTGCAACAAGCCCATTCCATGTGGACACCTTTTGCTCTTGCTTCCGAGAGCAAATCATATTTTACATCATTCCTTTGACTTTTTATGCGGTGAGCTGTGTCTAAATTATGCTTGGAGCTGTGTGAATGCACTGTGTGAAGCCTCACATGTAACTTTTTTTCAGCTGTAACTGTTTTTCAGCTGAACTCTTTCCATATTGACTACCAAACATGCAAGTCATTAGGGTTTTTTTTTGTTCACCCAGCAGCTCGTCTTAACATGTAATCCTTTTTGAAAACATAGAAGAGGTGCTCGTAACCATTGGTTTTGTTTAATGGCAACTCCTAAGCACGCTAAATGCACCCCCTCTGGATACCTCAAACATCTCAATGATGCTTACCCACCTACAGGGAGTGTCTCATATTAAAGCCACCATTATGGAAAAAACAAACTTGAAGCCATAGAAACGGCCACGCTTCTTCTCTCCCTCACCCTTTCTCTATATCTCTAGGTGTGTTTATTTTCCTGATCATGTTGTTTCAGCTATAGTTTTTATCTCGTGCCATTTCCAATCAAAAGGTGGCCCTCAGTGGAATTTAACACACTACACCTACACCTGCAGCAGTGGAGGCCTAATCTGACACACTACCCCGATACCTGCAGGGGCCCAAAGGCTGCACACAGAGCAGTGGAATTTTACACCTAGCACTTTCTAACACGATATGCTCATGTTTCAGCCCTGCTGGTTTGGAGGAAACTGAGAAAACAATAAGAAAGTATTTTACATTCTGTCTGCAGTGATTCATGACCCCTGAAACATGTGTTGGTTTTTTGAGCAGAGAGTTTGTGTCCATTTCTGCAAGTTCATGTTTCTGCAGTGAAGTCATTATACTTGGGGAATTGTTTTTTGTTTATTTGAAACCACTCTATTTGTCCGTTATATATAGAGGGCCAAAGTCATGACAACAAGGGCTGGCTTTTGATAAGCTATTGAAGCTGATTCTGAACCTAAAGGCTGGTGTGCATTTTAGAGCGCATACTTACAAACATGGCTGAAGTAAAAAGAAAAGAAGAAGAACAAAGGGGGAAGGTCTAGCTAGGAAGGCTAGTTCTCTCCCCTTGTTTTCAGCCTAAAGGCTAAGCTAAGCTAACCATATGTTAGTTCTGGCCTTAAATGTAAAACACAGATATAAAAGTGGTACTGATCATGCTATCTATGTACATTCGCAAAAAAAAGAAGCACATTCCCCAAATGTTGAACGTTTTTAGACTCAAAGCAACAAAACAAGCATTTTATCTGTTAAACTCTGTGAGCTATGTTTCACTTTTATTTTTATTTGTAGAATCATTTTAGAAAGCATAAACAAGCTGTAGCCCTTTAATTTTTCTGATATATTTTTGTCATATTACATTTTTATGTTCTTTGGACAATGTTTACAAAATGTGCAAGATGCTAAATGGTCAATTTGATAGTACAAGATGTGTAGACAATTACTGTGATCTTTAACTGTTAAAACTGGCAAAGCAAAACATACGTAATGTTTATGTGTATTGTAAAAAAAGGACGATAATAAAAGACAAATTGTATCTTGTGTGTAATGTTTTCTCTCAAAATATCTGATATCCTTCCTTCATCCGTGAGACCATACCTGAAAAAAACACAGCAGATAATAAAAAAGTGAAAGGTTGCATTTCTGGCATGCCATGTGTTGGATTATATTTGACAAAATGGGCTGCAGGATTGATCTTTATGGAAAGATAGTGTTTGGTTTGGACAGATCTTTTAAACACATACAATGGCTTTGCTTTTGACCGTAATAAAGGCTGATAGTCCAGTGTTTGTCTTTCTGTCTGACACATCCAGACCCTCAGTGATGTTATCTCTGGCTGCAGCCACACGAGGACAAAAACGTCTAAACGCATAGGATTAACGCAAACGCTTCTCTCCGCCATCCCCTCCGTGTGTTTCTGCATGTAGCAGCCGCGTGTGTGTAAACTGCCCCGCCCCCTCGCGCACAGACGGGGGAGAGAGAGATCTCGTCTGGATTGGAAAGGTCGAAAATACACCGACCATAGACGTATTTGTTTGTCTTTTTGCATGTTAGAAACGAGTTGGCGACACTAAGACTGCGAGATAATATTTGTGTAGCAATAATACATGACCTTTCTCTTTCTCAACTCGCTCCTCGGAGGGAAGTCGCTGTCATATGCCTTGTGAACACTCCGATAATGCCTCTCCACGTTACCTTTCTTTGGCAGAGCGACGCTTGCTTTACAAATAAGGCAAATAACCTTTGAATGTGACATCACAAAACAATATTCTTCCTCCCATTCTGGGTGGAAGTGGTTTGTCTTTAGCTTTTTGCTCGGTCCCGCACTCATTTGGTTGTTTGTCTCTTGTTAGTCTCTTTAACTTAATTTGAGTTTTCCCGGCACTTGACTGATTTTGTATCGCTTTGCATTCTGGGTTAACAGACTGGAAAGCGATAGGTCGCTTTTTCTGTCAATCAAGTAAACTCCTGAATTAAGTGGCAGGGAGGCCAAGGGAGGCGGGATCAAAACCTGTTTTGTCTATTTTAACGGAACAGGATTTTTTTTTTTAAGAATGACTCGCGATCTACCAGCTTTGTCGACGTACTGGGCACCTCTGATCTAGTGTATTCATACCCCTCACTGTTTATTCATCATTCAATTCATTCTATATTTTATTCTGTAGATTGTGTACATTACTTTTCACTTTACTGCTTGTTGCACCTGGTTAGAAGCTAAACTGCATTTCGTTGTCTCAGTACCTGTAATATGTGCAATAACAATAAAGTTGAATCTAATCTTGAGCAGGAACAAATGTATTTACTTAGTACATATCTGACATTAACGATTAAACACATGTGTGCATTCTTTATAAATGCAAACCGAGTCAAGCCGACTCCGGAGGTGGCGGTATGCACCTTAAAGTTGTTTGCAATCCGCCAAAAAACCGAGAGAAGAAGAAGAAGACGAAGCCGACTCCGAGCATGGACTCCGAGCTGTCCGACTTCAGGCGAGCTTTTTGAGACCTCCCCCGGCTGCGATCGGCTATTCTCGTCTACTTTCGAGGCGAGCCGCAACGCGTCTCAAACAAGCCTAGTGTCTGCCCACACAAGACCGCTCCGTTTAGCTCCAACCGCTGGAGAAGCTGCAGTACATATGCAGGAGCCTGTACGTGGCGCTGTAACTTCCTCCACAAAAGCAGCGAAGAAGCATGGTTGTCATGGTTGCCCTTCTGTTTATTCTCAGCGGTGGGGGCCGAGGGAACCGGGCAGTTTTTCGCCAGTCAACGTGTATTAAAGTTTAAATCTTCCGACAAAATTATAAAAGTGCCGGTCAAAGGTCTTCTTTGTTATTTATTGAGCTTTAAAACAAATGAATAACGAATCTATATAATATAATAATAAAATACATGGAGCCTCTCTTTGTCCTCCCTCTCTTCGGACAGCGTCAGTGTCTGTCTCATGCAGCAGCTGATCCAGTAATGAGTGACCCGGCCGACAGTAAAAATAAACATATTTATAACTAGTTTATGTAGTTTGAGAGGTGTCTCCGTCTTGTCAGATTAGACTTCACTCGCGTTTATGTCCATATCGAGAGAAAGATACATAATCTGAATTCAGTGTGCAGTTTACTTTGACGCGGGGGTGAGCAGCAGAGGTGGGGAGAGGCGGAGCTATTGCGCAATCATTATCAGAAAATGATCGCTGAAGCTGCAGTACATATCCACAAAAGCAGCGAGTAAGATCCCCCCCGGATGTGTAAGTCTTCTGTAGATGTTGCACAAAGAACTGTAGCATGGTCAGTAGCGTCCGGAGCACGATAGCAACTCTGCGATCCGCCATTGTTGTTGTTGTTGGTGGCGAAACACATCAGCAATGGCGCGGGGTACGCGGAGGTGAGCAGCAGAGGTGGGGAGAGGCGGGGCTATTGCGCAATCATTATCAGAAAATGATCGTATAGGGCGCACACACGGAGCTGTTTGACCTCCCAGAGCGTTGCGTATGCCGTTCTATCCACCTTGGGACCCGTTATCGTTTCCTCAGTCGTTTAGTGCCTGCCGTATGCGGTCGTCCTCGTGTGGCCGAATGGTCTATATGACACTAAACAGTAACGCAAACGGCCGTTTTTGTCCTCGTGTGGCTGCAGCCTAAAATACGCAAATGAAAACCTGAAAAAAATGGGAATTTAACAAATGAAAAAACATGTGTATAAAATGCACTAAAACCTGGACTAGTGCAACCAACACTAACAGCGATTGATAATTATAGGTAGACGTACTGCGTGAATTTTCTATATTGTTTTCAATTAGGTTACTTTCATTCTTCTTTATTTTCTTTATTTTTTTAAACGCAGTTAATGGACACCTGATTTATTAAACACAAATTCATTTATTAAACTAAAAACAGAATTTGTACACCATACTATTATAAAAAAAACCTAACCTACAATTTAAGATAATATATATTTGATACGAAATATCTTGGTTTCTTCTTTTCTGAGGCTATATTGTTTTGATGTTTTACAGAATAATATTCTGTAAGACATATACAAAATAAGACATAAGAGATGTAAAAAGACATATAAGACATATAAAAAATAACATTGCATAGTACATTTTCGTATAATAAATGTACTATGCAATGTTATTTTTTATATGTCTTTTTTCTTAATCCACAAGTAATGTAAAGTAATCAGGTTAGTTTAGTTTTATATTGTCATTCTCAGATTGAGTTTCTGATTACATTTTTTTTACATAAAACTAGTAATTGTAATTGATGACTTTAAAAATGTATTCTGTTACAATTGCTATTTACCTGTAAATACTGTAGTGGACAATTTGTTTACATGCATCTCCTTTTACTTTTTGTAGCTACTCTATTAATCTCTGATGCATTGTACGGAGGACATCCTAGGCTTTCCAGTGATATGTCATTGGTTAAAATGGCAAACTGGGAAGTTCCTCTTTCTTTTCATTCAAAATGGCCGTCATACCAACAAAAACATTTCATAGTAGGAGGAGGGGTATGTCAAATATTGTTGATACATTTTTATTTTTACAATGAAAATCATTAACATGTGAGGAACTTTATAATTAGTTCTGAAAGCAATAACATAATTTGAGTTTTGAAATAACAGCTCTTTTAAAAATGTCCATTCTAGTGGACATCAGGTTCATCTTCATGGACTTAATGACTCAACATTGTTGCAGGAGACAGAACTGAAGCAGACATTTTCTGTACCAGATAGTTAAGGGAGATTTGGATTTGGAGCTCTCAGATGATGAGAGAGATGAGGATTTCACACCTGGGATAGAAGAGGGTGAAGAAGTAGGGGGAAAAGAGGCAGGAGGCTCAGATGAGCGCACAGATACATACGTACATAGAGACAGATAGGGACGAGCAGGAAATACATGCTCATTGCTGCAGCATTCACCAAAAACCAAACTAGTTTTTTAGTGATAAAATATACAGCAATGTTCAAATCAATTACTTATTTATTGTTTAAATAATGGTGAATGCATTCTTGTATTAAGATCACTCTATAAGCCTAATATGTTAAGTAGTTTATCTGTTAATTTTGGCTGTCCTTTCACAATAATATGGTCTTGACGTCCTCTACAGCGGACATAATGTAACATTTAAAGTTAAATTACATTTTAAAAAGTCTAAATTGCAAAATGTTTTATTAACCCTAAAAAATTGTCAAATTCAACGTAAAAGAATTTGAGAAAAATAAATACAAAAATTATGGATTTTACTGTATTATGTAATACAACAGAACAATGTTTTTTGGTTTACTGCAGCTTTTCATATGTTCAGTCAGGAGTCTAATAATGACTGATAGTGGTGTTTAATAAATCTTAGATCCAAAAACATGTCAATCACCGTAATGATAATCTCAACATGTTTTAAACTTTAACTCAATGTTACAAAAGGACACACCGCAACCACTTCCAGAGAGGAAGGGAGCCACACACAGTCATAGCCTGAAGACCTGATCCAAAGCAACACCCACTAGTTCATTAAATTCCCCAATTAAATCATCATCCGAGAACATGATGTCCCCCACGAGAACATTCTCATTAAGTGCTTAGGATAATTTGCTGAGGTGTAAGTCCTTCTCTGGCATGGAAGCACCGCGCCCGGCGCCTGCACATTTGATGATGAATGGCCTTCTTCAAGTTTCATCTGTTCATCTCCGCCTGTCTGTCTCAGTGTTTGCTGTTCAACAGGAGAGGAAACGGGCTCCATATAGAACATTTCCAGGGCCTATTCATTTTCACATTCACGTGAAGGTCATGTATGTGCCTGTACCCTCGCCTTTTGATGTGTTGAGTCATTCACATAGCACAGACGGGTTGGGGCACACAAAGCCTGTAATGAGGACTCATGACCTATGCACGCAAGGTTGTGTGTGAGTGTGTGTTTGATTATTTTTGAGAGAGAGTGAGGGGGTGGAAGAAAGAGAGAGAAAGAAAGAAAATAAATGTGTATGCATGTTTTCATTTAAGTGTGTGTTTGATGGGGTGGGGGTGGTCATAATATCCTGCTATTCAGGTTGTGTTATCAGCTTTACTATTTGAGCAACACTTTCCCACCTCCCTGAAACCAGTTGTGTTCCTTCAGATCTGTGAGTTTGTGTGTGTGTGTGTGTGTGTGTGTGTGTGTGTGTGTGTGTGTGTGTGTGTGTGGGGGGGGGGTGTGTGTGTGTGTGTGTGTGTGTTGGATGGAAAAGGAAGTCAGCACTGGGAAATACATTAACTTATACTATCCTTTCTCCTTCTGAGGCAAGCTGTCTAGACAGAGCAGATAAGGAAATTAAACATTCCACTTCCGACAAAATAAAAACATTAATATGTGTCCGAATTTCTTCACTTCCCAGAGAATTCCTGTGTGCGATGAACTAGTTTCTATTGCTCAGATTCCACACACATATTGTCAGCCTGTTAACCATATTAACATCACAGAAATCTCAGCCAGAATTAAACATGAGCTCATAAGTTTGAGTAAAAAAAGATTGGGAAAGAGTCAAAAAGGTTTAACTGCAGTTTGACAAGCGGATATGTCTGTTTGTGTTTATTCCAAATGGTACCTCTGATTCAATAGATGAGTGTGTGCATTAGCGAAATGGAAAGTTTTTCTTACGTCCTGCTGAGAAAAAAATGCATGTTCACGTGACGCAGGGAAACCCTGACATCCCGAAGCTGATGCGTTGGACTACCCATGAGGGTCTGAGTTAAATAAATAAAGCAGTGACTCCAACCACCCACCCACCCACCCACACACACGCACGCACGCACACACACACACAACACACACACACACACACACACACACACACACACACACACACACACACACACACACACACACACACACACACACACACACACACACACACACACATACACACACACACACACACACACACACACACACAATTCTCTGTTCCAGCAGATACAACTCCTAAAACATATTACATCACAGGAGCAGTTGCGTTCATGTCCTAACAGACATCTGTCTCCTTTAGATGTCTGTCTAAAATAGTCTAGTCTCCTCTGTCCACTTCTACCATTTCTCATGCAATGGTAGAAGTGCATTAGACGGGTGTTACGTGGGGGGGCAGTCTCTCTCATCCTGTGGGAGGACAGTATACTCAGCATCCAGTGACGGGATGCGTTGTTTAGTCTCTGCCAAACATCTTCAACCTTCTTTCATTTGTACACTTAAAAACGATATATATGCTTCCATACTCTTTTCTTCCTTGTACACATGCTTTTTCTTGAAAAGGAGATCTTGTCATTTGCACCCACCTTGTTTGCCATCTGCATTGCAGCCAAAACTTACCTAAGGGGGATTCTAACTCAAGAATATAAACAAGTTTAATGAATTTCAACCTCAATAGACTAGCATATGCATATGCGTCTAATTATTCACTCTGTAATATACCTATAAAACATCTTGAAGAAGAACAGGCTTCTACAGCCACGTAGACCCACAATAAGAAATACAATCATACTCATCTTGCAGCGATCAACCATGATTTATAATTGCCAGCTGTTACAGTGAAATTGTAGCTGTATTCAGCTTGTAAATCTGTATGCTTGTCAATGTGGCAAAATGTTTTAGACACCTACTGCTGGAAGAAACTACAGAAGAAGAGGTTTTGATTCATGTCTTCCAAATTAAATCAGTCACTGCAACTGTGCTATATGCATTCACAAAACTTAACCGCTGTGAAGTCAAAAACAAAGTCAAGGCTTACGCCAAAAATGTCAAGCAGTTGTGTTACAGTTTTTCTCGATTATACATAAAGCACAATTATTTTAACTGACATTCAAAGAGCAAAACATCGGCTCAAATCTCCAAAACTCTAAACACGTTTTCAGCTTTTGACACAATTTGCAAATCAACATGGCACTTTTTGCAAACCACTGCACACGTTTCTCCACGTAAGACACAGGAATCTGACATAAAGTCACGTGTTAGCAGGTTTAAAACACTGATATTCAAAATGCCTCACACATGGACCAATGATCAAGAAACACGTTCCACCTGACCAAACACCTGATAGCATAATTGTTGGCTCATCAATCAGTATGTTAGCACTATGAAAAGACCACAGGTGAGTACTTTCTTACAGCAACAATGGAAGCCAACATGGAAGCAAGAGGAAGAGGAAGAGGAAGAGCTGGGCTGAGAGTGAGAGGAGGAAGAATGAGAGGAGGTAGAGCTGGAGGGAGAGGACGTGGACAAAGAAGAATACTCTCTAATGAAATGAAATGTTATCAACTATGGTTTGACGATGAGAGAGGCTGGACGGAGGGTTCGGCCTAATCTAAGCCGATGTACTGTCGCCTCTGTAATCCAGACACTTAGACTTGAAAACAGGTTAGAAGGACTGAGAAACAAAGAGGTGGAAGGCTAAGGATTTCCAATGACGCACAGGAAGCAGCAGTTACAAACTGGGTTTTGGCAAACAATGCCATCACACTTAGAGAGATCCGAAGCATAGTAGCTATGTGCTGAGATGCATGTTGCACAATGTTAGTTTTGAATAAAATGTGATTTCTCATTTGTATTTCTTCATTTACTGTATTTCTGTAAACTCAAGCAATCTTTCTCTGCAGAAACCTCTCTGTACAGAGCATAGTCCATAAAAGATGAAAGTGCTTTAGATTATGCTCAGCAGTGTGTAGTTGGGTGGTCAAACAATCTAGTGTTATCAATGAAGTGTGTTATATTTGGTGCAAAAGTTTGCATTTGGAAAGTGTTTATGTAGTTTTGAGTGCAGTTCTTCATTTAGCAGGAGAAATTAGGTGTTTTGTACTTTGGGTGTGTGGTTTTGTGAATTGTGTTTAGTGTTCTGAGAAACTGAGCAATAAAAAAAGAAATGTGTGTTAGCAATCGAGAAAAACTGTAATGTAGTGAAACACTTAAATCAAACTTTAGTTACAGGGGGGGGTGTCCGGTGCCTTGCTCAAGGGCACCACTGCAGGTGAACTGGGACCTCTCCGAGTAGCAGTCCACACTCCATATTTAGGTCGGTTCGGGGGCTTGAACCGGTGACCCTACAGCTCCCAGTCCAAGCCCCAACTGACTGAGGCCGGGCATAATGAGTACTTTTACTTTTGGTATATTTTGATGCCAATACGTTTGAACTTTTCATTGAGTAACATTTTGAATGCAGGGCTTTTACATGTAACAAAGTATTCCTTCACTGTGGTACTTTTACTCATGTACAAGATCTGAGGACTTTTTCCACCTCTGATTGTAAGACATTGCTTTGAAACAAGACATTCATGTACAATCTGGATTATTAAAAGCAGCCTGGTTAAACCTTTTGGCATCATGCCTAAAGTCGGTGGAAATGGGTGCACTCTCTTTGAATAACAGGACTTGGTTGCATGTTACATGACAATACGTTCAATTTAATTAGAGTCTTGGTTGGATAGAGAAGATTTGTAATTGCCAATGTTTCTCTGTTATTGAATTGTACAGCTCTTCCATTGATAACAAATATGTTGTTATATTCAAGTTCCTTTATCACACTTGATTTGTTTTTCTTTTGACATTTTATTTGTATGCATCAAAACACCAAAGCATTTATTTGTGGGCGAAATCCTCCTCGGCAATGATGGTTGTGCATGAGGCAATGCATGCATTTAAACTGGAAGTCTAATGTTTCGTCGCTCTCTAGTGGCAACAACTGGTAACTACAGACAACTACTTGCAGTTTCACATTGTGTCCACTATGGGGCGATGTCGTGAACGCGGAAGCAAAACCCACCCAGAGGAAACAGGAGGAAATCAGGAAGCTGCCTGCTTGTGACAGCCGTATCAAAGAAAAGCACTGTACAAAAAAAGGCCGGACCTGGGCTTGAACTCTTGTCCTTTTCGATTCGAAATAGACTCCTAAAACCCTCCAACAACATGGCGAAGACCACCGGGAACGCTGCCCGCTTCAGGCGTGTGGACGTGGACGAGTACGACGAGAACAAATTTGTGGACGAGGAGGACGGAGCAGAAAACCAGCTGGGACCCGACGAGGCAGAGGTGGACTCCCTCATCAGACAATATCCTTTACATGATTAGCTAGCCTGTTAGCATCCACATACTGCTGAAGATACCAACCACAACGGTCGGTGTTTATTTATGGATGCTATGGTTAACTTCATGTATTCTCTGTATAGTATGTTGCCGGGTATGAAAGGGCGTTTTGCAAGTAGGCCAGTTACTGTCCAGACTTGCCTGGCAGACACATTCCAGGGATTTCTGCTCCAAGACACACCAAGCTTTATATTAACTTTTAAGCAAGTGTGCATTTGCAAACAGGTTCACAATGTAATGGTAGGCCAGGCCTATATATCCTTTTTGTCTTTAAATAGTCGAGTAACTTCATCGTGTTTTCTGCCGATTAGCTTAGTAGGTTGAGTGTAGCAGAAGCACAAGGTTTTGCTCATGAGCTAAACGATCTGCTTCCTCTTTGATACAGCAGTTCCAATTATAGTGTTTCTGTAAAGTGTGAAGCCAGCGGTTTCCGTCTAATAGGCCTTATAAGGCTTGAAAGTGCAGCACTTCCTCATTGAATAAGACAGTTCCCTCCCACCTCATGCTGCAGGGCAGGAGGAAAGGCTCGCGCTCGTTACAAATCTGACAACAACAACAATAATAATAATAAAAAACAAATTATGAACATGGAAACAAATTGTACGTGCTTTTAAGTAATATAAAGTAGGGCGCACTGCTCATACTGATTTATACCGATAGTATTTATTAAGAAGTTCACCCTTTTTTCTACTAGCTGATGAAAGAAACACTGCAAAGAGGGGATTTTATGCTAACACTATTTTAACTTTTGTCTATCTCAAGAGTACTGATTATCCTCATCTTACCCCCTGCTGATCCTTTAACCATGCCTTTATTTTCTTCCATAACAAGGACTTTAGATTGTCTATCAATTGCATTTGGGTTGCACTTTTAAGGACTCTCTTCAAAGTCAGTATGGACAGGTGAAACAATATCTAGAGCTTATAGCAATAGCCGTTTTAACATAATAATGGACATGTGAGCCTATATTTTACATTTGAATTGTAAAACGGCACATTTTAATTACGGGTAAACTTGATGTGTTTTCTATTATGCATGCAAACACCCACCTAAAGATCTCAAACAACTGATTCTGCAGTCACACCGAAATGGAGAGATAAACCAAATACGTTTTTATATATATATTTATGAATTCATTCATAAGTGGCGACATATCTCAGGTAGCTGGAAGGATCTGTTGTTCTAAAAAATAAACAAAAAAAGAGAGAGCAGCACTCTCAGGATCTTACTTTGACTACAGTTATTAGACCACCAGCTGTTTTGCATTGCATCCTTAACCCTCCCTGCACAGGCAATCTGATGGAGGCTCTACAAGCAGTCCTGAAGAACCCGCCGATCAACACGAAGAACCAAAACGTCAAGGTGGGTCTGGTTCTCCTGGTTAATAAGAGTATTTACCACAGTCCTGTTTTTCTATAGAATCACTTTGTGGACTCTATGCTAATGAAATGAGAGGTTTGTTGGACATAAACAGTAGAACGATTTAGGCAGTAATAACTAACTACTTGGCAACTCTCCTATTCACATGTATCTTCTTTTCTCTCAGGAACGTGCAGAGGGTTTGGTGCTGAAGGTGCTCAGCGCCTTTAAGAGCAGTGACATTGAAAAAGGGGTGCAGTCCCTCGACAAAAATGGCGTCGACCTGCTGATGAAATACATCTACAAAGGCTTCGAGAGGCCGTCAGAAAACAGCAGCGCGGTCCTGCTGCAGTGGCATGAAAAGGTCAATATTTGCACTTCATTATCTGGCATAATCATACGGTGACACATTTTTGAGTTATGCATTCTATATACTGGCTGGATAGAGGGAGAAGTGGACGTAGATTAACACGGAAGATTGACATTTTAAAGGAAATGTCCTCCAGCGGTGTTCAAAGTCTGTGATGTTGTTTTCTCTGTGTTAGTAAATGTACTCAATGAAAAGTGATATTAGCTTGGAAATTGTGATATATTATGGTAATCAAAATGAATGTATCTTAAACAGGATCATGTATGGCGTCATAGTGGGACAGTCAAATACATTAATTAAATGTGGTCACAACTCTGCATACAGTATGAGCTACCAGAGTTGAACAGAGACTTAGTTTCAGTATTAAAAACCTGATCATATTTTCTCTGCGTCTCCAGGCTCTGGCAGCTGGAGGAGTCGGCAGCATCGTGCGGGTACTAACAGCGAGGAAAACGGTCTAAAAGAAGAGGATCAGTTCCACATCAATAACACATATGGGATATTATTGATGTCGTCTAACAGATGGCATAGGGACTAAAATGAAAAACTATTCTTTAACCCAATGCGATCCCGCTAGACAAACTCAAATCTGCATCACATTGTGTTAAAGAAACATGTTTTTATTTTGTATTCCCATTCATGATCACAGCCCAGTCAACACAGGGTGCTACAGAGAACCTTACATGTGTACTGCTTCCTAGATTTCCTTACTGTATTCCCCTTTGTCTTCATGTCATTCCTATGCAGTCTGTAGATATTCTGCTGTACACACAGCGGTTCCCAACCGAGGGGAGATAGCAATGAATATTCCTGGATTTGATTCTAACTCAGGATAATTCTACCTCTCTTATCAGTCTAATGTAAGTAAAAGAGGTTGGGAGCCACTGCTGGACAGTACTTTATCTACACACTCATACAAACAGACACAATTGTGCTCACTCACAGGCATGACTCAGCAATATTTCCTCCATTCAAACCCACACAGGGTTTCAGCTTTGCTTCTCTAGGGAAAACTCTCAGTATTTGTTTTCCATCTTCTCTTCACTAGAGATTTTCTGAGGGTGTAAAAGCCAGAGTCTCTGTTAGTAAATCCTCTCATTGCCTCTCCCTGTCACACTTTAGCTGTGGGAGGCTCTTGAAAAGCGCAGTCACAGATGGAGGATGGTGGATTTGCACCCGGGGGTCGCCATTTCCCCCCGTAGAGCGGGAGGGAAGGGTGGGGGTTGGTGTCATCCATCCATCCTTTCACACTGCCTGCTGCCCCAGTTAAGGATTATTACCCACGATGCATCTCCACCACCACTCTTATTAATCCTATTTTGCTATTCCTCACATCCCTTGTGTGTCTGACCCTCTCATGCACCCTCTGTCACTGAGCAGGGCATTATGGGGCTTTTTCTGTACTTTGAGAAAAAAATAACATGTCACCATTAGAGTCCTTTTTCATATTGTTTTATTTTGGTATTTAACAGAAAAACAATATCTATGATAAAACATTTTCCGCTTGGTTTGTTATTGCTTTAAAGTTGGGTTTTGACCACAGCTTAAAAGGTTCGAATATATCAGGGTGTAGGAGAGACTTAAATAAAAATAATTAATGTTAAAAAGGTATTTTTTGCATGATCCCAATCTTGAGTTTTGAGTATTCTGTCAAGCATTTCATACCTATCTTTTCTAGATGGGAGGTTTTTGTATTGAATCTGGGTTTGAATCTATGCTTGTTCATTCGAACAATTCCTCCACGCGTGGTATAGCAGTAGGGAGTTACTACCACGTATGCTTCTTTTTTTTTTAAATGAGGAAAACTGGAAATGTTGAAGCTTGATCTGCCTTATCGGGTAGATAACGTCTGTTGCCAAATGATCTGTTTTGCTTTCATGGTAATACTGTAGCTTATAGTGATGATTTTGTTGCCCTTATGTATTGGAGATTTTTTTTTTTAAACAAAGTGGTGGAGTTCTACGAATAAACAGTATACATTAACATGCAAGCAAAGTGTTTTATGGTTGGAAAGATTTGCCATTTTGAAAAAATGATGTAGTGATCAGGGGAATTTAGACCCAGCATAATGTTTTGTTTCTGCTCATTTTAAATAGCTTTTTCTAAAAGACGCATACATTTGTGTTTTCTCACGAGTTATCAACAGTTGATATTTAGACATGGGTTTTCATGTTTAAATACGGTCATCAGTGATGAAGCATCCAGACACTAGATTCCTCTTCCTCTTGCAGGAAAGTCTAGTTTTACATGAAAACAAAAAACAGCCTGATATTTTCATGTAATCTGAGATGCTCTTCCAGCTGAGGGAGCATACCACACTGATGTACAGTCTGCCTTACTCTATATTACTTTTTTTTATGTTAATGCTTTTTTGACAAAAATAAAAAAGGTATGAATGCAAATCATAACTTTGTCTTGACTTTGTTTTACATCCACACTCATTTATCAATGCTAGAAACTAAATGTTGGAGGTGAAGGAGAGCACTTACCTGGCTCTTAGTGTATGCTGTCCAGCAGATATTTGTTCACATTTCACAGATTTCCCATTATTTTTATAAATGAATTAGTATTATCTAAACACTGTTGTAAATGTAACTTATCTGCTACTGAAGTTACTGTGACCTTCAAACTAAATACAATTATATATTTTTTAAATTACGATGATATTGTTTTCTGCAGAAAACAAATAAACAATATGGCAGACAGAGTAATCCTTGTCTCTGATTTCAGAGTGAACTTGTTGCTACTCCTAAATGTGCTCTTGTATTCTTCAGTGTTATTCTCATTAGCTTGCTTGAGTCGATGTGAAATGCTTTATAAAGGATCAGGGTTTTTTATGCATCAGTGCTGGAGACATACATAACGCTTGTTTTCAGTGTATATTCATTTATTACAGTTTTATTACAAAATGGATCCAATAAGTACAGTATTGCAATACATTATGAGAAAAAAACAAAACTATTTACAAGTCGTAAAAATAAAATACATCTTGATATGAACTTTTGGATTGAGCAGTTTATGGCACATTGATGATGTAGTGTAATGATAAGATAGGGTTTCTATTTACTAGACTACCTGAGGATGCAGAAGATCTAACAGTTAAGCTTTCTATCACCGAAATGAGCACCATATCTGAAGAGTCACATTTTCCCTTTGGTGATTAATGACACAAGGGCTAAACAGACGAGGGAACTGCCATTTTTCTAAATCAAGCACTTCCCAATAAGTTAATAGTAGGTAGATGTAAATAAAAGGCTAGCTAATATTTGTTGAGTAGGGTTGGTATCTACTATGGGAGCCACCGATGAATACTTCCGCTTTAAGGAGCAACATCTTGTTGATCTTATAAATAAATCTGAGGGGGCAGGGAAAATCACAAGGCAACATATTAAACATTTCATTGAAAAAGTCCTGACAGACTGAGGTTTTGGATTCCTGGGATTAAAGCCAATACATAGCCAGTTTCATTGTACAAGTCAACTGTTACCCTCCTGTGTCTTGTGTTGTTTCCACCTTTAATCTACTTCCTCTTGTCTTCAGGGCTATATGCCCTTCTGGCCGCTCACATTGAGAGTTTTTCAGTTTGTTTACTGATGTGGCTGCTTTTTAAAAAACACACCCACTCACTTATTTAGGATGCAATTCACCACACCTTTGTCTGCCTTCATTTATAGTGCTCTCAGTAGGGGTATGCAGAGACGGCGATGTAGACGATGAAGGTTGTCTGGTACTCGATTCCTCCGTCTGCGCTGTAGGAGAGGGCGCGGACCTTCATTCGGTAAGTATGGGGCTCTTGAAGCGCCTGTGTTGTGAACAGCACTCCCTTCAGGTTCTCGTCTCGCAGGGCGAAAGGTAACGTGGCGTCCTCGTCCACCACGAGGAAGGTGGTCCTGGGGTGCATTACTCCGTCCTGTGTGTAGGCCACCAGCCTGATGAGGTCCTGGTTGGCTGCGATGCCAAAGGGAAGAGACAGCAGCTTGTACTCCAGGGCGTAAGGGCTCAGGGCACACTCCAGGTCGTTAGGAGGGCAGTTCTTCAGGCAGAACCTGGACACAACATACACAGCAGAGTTGAGTTGAGTATATTGTGCCAAAAAAAATATATATATATTTTGTCAGAAGATAGATAGAGTACTCTATTTTTTTTAAGGGAAACTGCAAGTGACCATCTAGGGTTTATATTTATTCATTACACTATTTATTATTGGATTTATTGATATTCTATATTATTTGGCACAATCACCATGTACAGACAAATCATAATCTTGACCAACCTGGCAGTAAACAGTTTTTAAAGAAATTATTTCAGGAGCAATCCGCACCATTTGTCTCAAAATTCTGCAAATTACACCAAAACTACCTGCATGTTATAGTACCAAAATAAATACATGAAGAACTTTTGATTAACTGAGTTTTTAAAGTTCGCTTATAATTTGAAATCCCCAAGTTTCTCTAGCCTGTGTTGTTCACGTTTGATATCTTGTGGGTTAATCCTAACTGAGTGTGTTTCCGTGGAGGTTTACCCTGTGGCTGGATCCCTCTGGTAGTTTGGTGGACAAGGTGTGTCGATACATTGGAAACTTCCTCTCATGTTGAAGCACATCTGGTTGGCCCCACACTGGATGTTATCCTCCAGGCACTCGTCTATATCTGTAGATACAGCAAACAGCTTATCACGATTACAGTACAAGCTATAATAAAATGAAATGATGGAGATGGAAGCAGTAGTTTTTCTCACCCTGACACGTCTTGCCGTTGGTCATAAGGCGGTAACCAGCTGGACAGAGACACCTGTGGCTCCCTGGTGTGTTCATACACTCATGCTGACAGGCATCCCTCACCTCACACTCATTGATGTCTGTCGGTGTCACACACACAAACAACCACATAATGATAGAGACAAAATTAGATAAATGCCGAATTAAGGCACATTTTTAAAGCCCACAATTCAAAAATCACAGCAAATCCTCAAGCAGCAAAGCAGAGCGTTTCTCTACAAAAAAACTTTCCTCCTCTCCCTCATCTCAACCCTGCCTGTCCTACATTGTTACCTAAGCAGGAGCCCCCCCTGGACTCAAAGCCCTGCAGACAAGCGAGGGAGCCCTGCTGCGAGGAATGAGTCTCTCTGCGGCTCCGGCTCCTTTCACGGCCCCTTGAGGTGGCGCCGTAGGAGTGGTAGCTCTGAGAGGCCAAGTTGTGGTACAGTCGCTGGTGGGAGTTGTGTTCAGGAGAGGATTGTGATGCTCGGTAGCCGAATGAGTAACTTTCATAGCTGGGCAGACGCTCCAGACCGGCACAGGACTTGCCGTCCCCCAGCAGGTGGCGCCCTGGAGGGCAGGTGCACTTGAAGCTGCCCGGCGTGTTGAGGCATTGGTGGGCACAGGGCTGGGGCAGCCGCTCGCACTCATTTATGTCTGCCCTCAGCACAAAGAAAGACCAGCAGCAGGACAAAGTGATAGAAAAAGAGGAGAAAAAGGTGCAAAAAAAATAAAGGTGGTATTTAGAAATGAAAAGAAATGAGGTGGTGCAGGCCATGAAAATAGAGATGAGATGAGGGAGATGAGAATGGGGGAAAAAAGGGGATATGTCAATTACCCCACTGTACAACAATACATATTCATGTCCCTAAGACAGAAATGTATTGAGACTATAAAAACATTTGTCGTATTAGAATGAGAGATAGAGATAATCTCCTCTCATGTCAAATCAAAACTTTAAAGATAATAACTTTAAATGCTACTTTGAATCTAGTTAACATGTTACGAAATCCAATTCATGCCAGAGGAATTCTTCACAAAGACAGAGCTCAGCGTACAATGTTAATGATGTCACGAGGGAAACAGTGAATATATGCCATTACAAAGCAACTCCAGGAAATAGCCAGATCCAGACATAAAGAGGATAGTTTGAAGATTGAAGAAGAGGGAAAGGAAACAGAGGGATAGATGGAGCAGAGGTCATGGTGCTGGTCTTTTTATGGTTGATGTGTAAAAGAAGTAGACATTTATTTTCTGTTTCCCCTACCTCTGTCGTACTTTCCTACGCTTTCTCCTATCTGACAGTGTTGGTGAGCAGACGTAGCTTCAACATAGAGCAGTGTTTCTCAAACGTTTTCACACCAAGGACAACTTAACCAATAAAAAAACACACACGGACCACCTAACTCCCCAGATATCCAAAAACAAAAGGCCTGCTTACAACTCCAACAGTTTATAACAAATTACAGCCTAATGATGACAGCTTAACCTTCTCTATATCAAATTCAAAATAAAAAACAGTAAAACTATGGTTGCAGTCCCAAGTTTAACATGAATTCAACATTAAACACAAGTTAATTATTTACACTGTTCCAGGTATTTAGCATTGTTTACGCACTCATTGACTGTGTGTCTCTGTTGCCACATATACTAGTCATTCTTAAACAATTTGAGAAACACTTTAAATGTATTTATTTCAAATGTGAAATGTTACCAATATACTCACGGACCACTAGGGGTCGCTCACGGACCACACTTTAAGAAGGACCTGATACCAGGCATAAAATATTTGAAAGGTATTTAATGTCATGAGTTAGTCAGTGGTTTAACCAGCAGCATTTTAGAAATGTAAGCAAGCACTGAAGATAATGTCCGAGCTACATAGCAGTTATTAAAGATTTTCACCAGGAGTGAGTCACTGAAAAAAAGAGAGAAATATGCCGGCAGAAGCAAGCAAGCTTATGGGAGGTGTAGGGGAATAGCAGTGCATATTTTTCTCACATTCTTTCTTTGCTCAACATGCTGTATGGTTTGGCAAGTGGAAGTATCACCTGCCTGATCAATGCGCATGAAACCCTTTGAATGTAATACCATTTTGGATTCAACTTTTGTTATGTTTATGATAAGCATTAAAGATGTACATACCGAGGCAGGGCCGCCCCACTCCCTGAGATCTGTAGCCACGTGGACAGGTGCAGTGGTAGCTGCCTCTGGTATTCTCACAGATCTGATTGTATCTGCACTGATGAGTGCCATCCCTGCACTCATCGATGTCTACAGCACAAAGGACACAGGAGTTAATCATAATCTCTCCCAGTCTGAACTTTAATAAATACACTTTAGCAGATGCCGTCTGGCTTAACAAGGAAGAATGTATGCTTGTGAATACTCACCTACACATGTCCCATTGCCGCCTTTAGTCATACCATTGGGGCACAGGTCAATACAGGTGTAACCCCCCCGTGTGTTTTTACACTGCTGATCTGACCGACAAACCCTCTGTCTGCACTCATTTATATCTGCAGTGATCAGAGAGAGGACAGAGGAGGTCAATGTTTCTTAAAGAAAATGATGTGATAGTATTGTTTCAAGTAATTCATTATACAAAAAGTCCAAAAACAGTAGTTATTTTTTTTTAAATAAAACAGATAA